TGTAATAAAAATAGAGGGTTTTGTTTAATAAAAGTTGATCTTGAAATAACCTCTAAATTTGATCCCTACGTCAAAGTCAAGGTCACCATAAAATATCTTATTTTTGCTAGAAACAATTTTTATATAACAATATAAAATTATATAGAAATATATAAAATTATACATATAATTGCAAAATTAAATATGAAATATGTCTATATATAATTAGATAAAAGAGCTTTTTATATACATATACTTATGTAAATTTTTATATATATATATATATATATATATATATATATAATAAATAAGTATTCACATATATAAATATATATAATGTTTTATATATAACTTGACATGAGATTATACATGAACTTCATAATTTATATATATAAATAAATTTAATTATATATAAAATGAACATATTTTACATATAATTATGTATAATTATATAATTATTTAGATATAATTATATATAAAAAATTTTTCCCGGGTTGAACCCTGCAATTTTTATATTTTATTCATAAGACCACTATTCTTGGACATAATTGACCGTTGCCGGACTTTTGAACCACCTTGTATATATATATATATATATAATGTTAGATTATGTAAAATATCTCGTAAACCGTTCAATTATTGACTTTTACCCTGTATGCAGAATATGTTACAAGGAATCAATTTACATAAATACTTATTATTAGACTAATCAATATCAAATAATCAAGTTGACTAATGATATTAAAAATTGCCTTCTACAAACATTTCTGTAACATCAAAGTATGTATATCTCTGCTAAAATACTGGAACTTTTATTTGCAGCATTATTTTCTAAAAATTATACTTTTAGAAATAAAAAATTGTAACGTTTTATTTAGAAAACTCAGTAAAGATATTTATACACACACATGTGAATGCTCAGTAAATATATTCATACACACACATGTAAATGATAAGTAATTATATTCATACCTACACATGTGAATGATATATATATTATATATATAAGAATCGCATGTAAATATATAAGCCAAAAAACAAATATATATATATATATATATATATATATATAATATTATTGTGTTCAAACTATGTGATAAAGATAGACACAATTATGTATGTATGTTTTACTGTCATTGACACGCTTAGATAAAAACGCGTGTGCGAGATGATTCAACAGTAAAATATTATGTTGTCTAAAAAAATATAATATGTTGAACACAATAAAATTTAACGTATAAGACGGGCAACAAGAGCCAAATCGCGGATGACAATGCGTTATCCTAACGAAACTAAATAATTTTTCATTAGAATTAAATACCGGTGCACAAGGCACCAAATTTTTACTTGGACACGGCCAAGATTTTAAATATGAAATAATCTCATACTTGAGATTTAATTTCAATACCCCTTTAACCCCCTACGGAAAATAAATAAATGAATGCAAGAGAAAAATATAGATCCGAAAGTCGAAAAAGGGGTATTGAAATTAAATCTCAAAATATGAGATTATTTCATATTTAAAATCTTGCCGTGTCCAAGTAAAAATTTGGTGCCTTGTGCACCGGTATTTAATTCTAATGAAAAATTATTTAGTTTCGTTAGGATAACGCATTGTCATCCGCGATTTGGCTCTTGTTGCCCGTCTTATACGTTAAATTTATATTTATATTACAGAGCCTTGTTAAAACTCTTATATTGATACAATAAAATTGTTTTTTTTGACATGTAAATTTTTAATATATGGAAACTGCCGATAATAGCGAAATTAAAATTGTCGGTAATTATCGACAATTTTAGTTCCGCTTAGATGAGGGCGCTAACCCGTCGGAGTTCGGCCAACGCTCCGGCATCCCCTTAAACAATTAATGTTCAGTATTGTTTAATTTCATTTGACGATTTGATTTGGCGCGCTAGTGCCCCTCTTTACTCGGCCGTTCTCGGCCCTGGGTATTGATTCTGTAACTTTTTCTAAAGTAAAAATGTGAAAAATGAAAAATTTCCGCTAATCACGCATTGATTTTAAAATGAAATCGATGTATAACTGCGGAAATTTTTCACTTTTCACGTTTTCACTTTAGAAAAAGTTACAGAGTCGATATCAAGGTCTTGAATACGGGCGTCTGACACAATTTGAACTCTCCGGTGGAAACATAGTCTATGTTAAAACCGGTCATGACATACATATATATGTCTTTTACATTGGCAGAGCGTGATGTCGCTGTTTCCCCTATTAAAGTACAATTTCATGCAGACGCTCGATACTCATTTTTAGCGTCAAATCTGATCACGTCACAGATTAATAGACAGATTGCCAAAGGCCTGTCTAAAGAGGAGACCGTCATTTTTGCCCCTTACCGACACACTTTGCCTCTGGTTCGAGTCCAGGCTAATAAAATCCTTTAATTTTACCAAAAAACTTTGTCTCTAATGCGAGTTCAGGCTAAAATCCTTTGATTATACGTGTAAAATAAAAAGATTTTAGCCTGAACTCGCACCAGAGGCAAAGTGTTTTGGTAAAATCAAAGGATTTTATTAGCCTGGACTCGAACCAGAGGCAAAGTGTGTCGGTAAGGGGCAAAAATGACGATTTGGCGATCTGTCTATTAATCTGTGGTCACGTGGTAGATTTTTAAATTCGTCGAGAGATAAAAGCTAAACTGTGTTTAGTTTTGACGCTCGACGCTCATTTCAGTCAATCTACCACGTGACCAGATTTGACGCTAAAAATGAGCGTCGAGCGTCTGCATGAAATACCTTTATGCGCTAGAAAGAAATAGACACTCATACTATTTACAATGTGTCTTTTAAGTTGCAGCGAACATCGTCTATTACCTTATAAGCAGTTATTCTTACTATGCCATTTTACTGGCAGTTTTAAAAGCACACACTTTTGGATAAGCGCATAAGCATATGCATAAGAAATTCGATTGATTGAATTTCTTATGCATACATTTATAGATTAATCAAGATTTTTATGCTTACGCTTATGCGCCTATGCAAAAGTGTGTGCTCCCGCTTTACTGAAAATCTATAAAATACACTATTTAGTAAAACTATTTAGATTTCCAGATTTCCAATTACTAACAATAAAAAAATGCGGCTATATATGTATCTATAGAAAGGTATCTCGCTCCAGTATAGAGCTCAATGGTCTTTATAATATGTATATATGCGCATGCGTAATTTCCCAGGATTTCCCAATCGAATTATGAGAATGTTTTATTAGTCAAAATAAGAAAAAATGTTATTATATATAAACATTAGACTTATAAATACTTTAACAAGTTAATACAAAAATTTAAAATACAAAGAAAATATAATGCTTGCTTTTGTATAAAATTTATAAAGAAAATGTAATCATTTGCTCTTATAATATACATTAATATGTATGATTAATTTAACGATATTTATCCAATCTATTTATGCTGATTGGGTGATTCAGTTTTTCAATGTAATCGTATTTTATTATATAAATCATATATAATATTATATAAAAATATTGTAAATAAATGAAATAAGAGAAACATTGTAAATAATAAACAATAATTAAGAAAGTTTGAATCGATTACCTTCAATTCTAAGATTTTAATATAACGTATAATAAATAGAATGTATAATATAAATATAAACAGATTAAATAAATATCATTGACTCGTTCTACTATACTACATTAGAAACAATATCGATATTTATGATAAAAATACATATAACAATAGGCATGATAAAAATACACATTAAAATAGTCTTTTCTTGCAACTTTAAGTGTAAATTTTTTTAAAAGATGTAATATAAATTGTAATATAATGCAGCAATTTAAAATCATATTCATCATATTCAGCATCGTATTTAAAAAATCGATGAGAAGTCTAATCTTGGTTTTTTCTTAACTGTATAATAATTTTAAATATTAATATAAAAAAACTTATTTCAAAACATTACAAAAATAATTCTGTAAATATAAATAAACAATATATATATATATATCTCATTTTTCTAATATATTCATTATATAACCAAAATTACGTATATTGCAGCTTCAACTTATATAATTTAAAAATTTTGATAATTTACAAGTCAAATTTGTTTTTAATATGCAAAATGTACGATTAAAAATAAAAATAAAAATAAAACAGTTGTTAAATTTTATCGAAATGGTCTATTATTTTTTTAAATTTTGTTTTTTATATACTTTTGAATCAAAATGAAACCGCAGGTTCGAAAAAATAAAACTGTTGAACTTTTTCACTTTTAACGAAATATGTAACAAAATTATATGTATGTACATATATATGTATACGTGTGTGCGTGCGTATGCGCGTGTGGTGTATTCGCCTTATTTCTAGAGTATACAATATCAACACAATTTGACTGGAAAATCTTAAGACAATCTGTATAAGTAATATAATAACTCATTACTATATACATATATTATTGCAATATACGCGCGCGCACGCACGCACGCGTACGCGCACACAAACACGCGCATACGTATACGACACGCACACACGCATACATACATTATTTTTATTTCTTTATATACGAAGATTCCAAACCAGAATATTTTACTTGTTTATTAATTATATTAATAACTTGTAATATATATCATATTGAAAGATGAACGAGAGAAAGTAATAAGTTTTTTATTAAAGAACAGAGAATTCAGATAGAAAGAAATGCTTTTAATAGGTTTGGTTGATTAAAAAATTGCGATTTATTAATTATGAGTAATTTAATTTAAAATGTTCCATGTATAATTTACTTTATTGCAACATGTTCAATCATTGTTGCAGCGTGTATAGATTATCTGTATGGTTATATAATATAATTTCTCTTTTTACTGCTATAAAATGTTCATTATCAAAACTTTAAGTTTTGTAGGGCACCCCGTCTTGTGTGTGTATATATATATGTGTATGTATATATATATTTAATTATCGCCATAACTATGTATAAATAACTTATCTATTTGTATACATACATACATATACATAGCTATGTGTATACATTATATTTATAAGATTTATTTATACTCTCGTGCATATAAATATATTTTCTTAATTATTTCAATATGAACACTGTAGTTATAATACGAGATATTATTCTCTCCATTAAAAAGATTTCATCAATATTTCATTATTTCCAACTATCAAAGTCGATTTTGTCTTCAATTTAAGCTCGAGTCATTGGACAAGACATAAGCAAAAGCTTTCTTTGACTCTTTTAACGGAAGAAAGTACAAAGCTTAATTTTTATTAATATTGTTCCTTGCTTTATTATATATTAACTTCATAGAATATTTAAAGATTTATCAATTTTTTGGTAGCATTCTTCTGTCTTTTTCATGATACATTCGGCAAAGCGTGCAACATAAAATATATATTATAAATACTAATATATTTTCTTAGTCTCTAAGATAACAAATGTTCGTGCTATTTATAGACCAAGAGTGCCCTTTTACACGATGATTAATTTTCAAATAATTACTGCGCTGTCTGTTGCTGTATTTCGATCTTTTCTACTGTCATATCCGGATTCATAGCAGTGGCTTCTTGTATCGCCTCTGCTAAAGCTCGATCGTGATCAATCGGATCACCATCCGATTGTATCGTTATCTTCTGTTCCACTCGTGTCTCCACTACACCATCTTTCTCCGTTTTATACTATAAAACCAACGATTAATTAAAAATTATATAATACACAAATAATATAATATATTGATAAAATGTACAAACCGTAATAGTTTCAACGGTACGGGTTTTACTGGATATGGTCTGTGTGCTGACTATTTCTCCTGTGGCGCTATAGTTACCATCTTCACTCTCGAGAGCTACTTTTCTCGTTTCGGTTGTCACTACGGGTACCGTAGTCGTCGTCGTCACATTGTTCTCTGGTTCTCCCATATAAACATGCTTCTCAGTTGCAATCACGGCTGGGTCTCCCTGAATCAAAATTTATTCACATATCTTTTATTTGAGAATCCATTAAATATAAATTAAAAAAAACAGTAAAAATTATAATATAAAAATAAATATTGAAATATTAATAAAGAGAAAATAAATACAATATAAACATGCCTCTCAATTGCAATCACGGCTGGATCTCCCTGAATCAAAATTTATTCATATATCTGTTATTTGACAATTCGTTAAATTGTGGTATAATATTTTAAAAACAACAAAAATTACAATATAAAATTAAGGCAAAGATTGTATATCAAGGCTCTTTAAATATCCCCAGGGCACTACAGACTCATCCCTGTAGTGTACGGTGTCGCAATCCGAGGTACCCGAGCTGGAGTGCGTGCGAAGGATGAATGGGGTGTGATGGGCGTGCAGGCCCTAAAAAGGACTTGTCCACTGCACTAGGTGAAGGAAAACACCGAAGATAAAACCGGGGGGGAGGCCCCGTTAGCTGAGTAAGGCAACCTCCTAAGGGGAAGGAAAACCCCCGACAGAAAAACCACTTTTTCTTTTTCAGATGGGATGACATCGAAGAAAAGAGACGACTTCCCAGGGTCGGATACTGGGAACCGGCGTGGGGGGGGGTGTAGGCCTGGCTCCCCTCATGTCGTCATCACAACGACAGGTCGTCTGTGGCTTTGCCGGCTGGGCTACAGATAAGGAAGCGACAGTGCCGAAGGACACTAGGAGGATCCGTAGGGCTCATGAGGGCCTTATGGTTCGGGACGATGGAATCGATCCCAAGTATGTCAGGAGACTACTTGCACGGGTCGATTCCAGGTGTCATGTGTTGGAGGAGTACCGTGTGCTCCTCGAACACAGCGAGAAGCACACAGTTAAGTGTTGGTGTTCGCGGGTACGCTGGGACTTTGTCCAAAAGTGTCCCGCGTGCGGAACCGTGGATTCTCCGTCTCCGGTCATCGGGGTGAGGAATGCTCGGACGAGCCTGAGGACAGCGGTGAGAGACCGTTCCCGTCTCGGAGAAGATGCTGGGGGGCAAGCGACGACGAGGAAGCTGGGGAGACCTCACCTTCGTGTCGCTCCCTTCGCCGTTTTCGGAGGACGAGGCAGAGGAGAGGGATCCGACGTGGAGGGTCCATGACGTAAGGATCCTCACAGGCAGAAAGCAGTACCCTCCTAAGGAGAGTGCTGCTGATCAAGCAGGTAAGCGCGGCGCGCGCGGGTAGGGGTCGCCCTAAGACTACGGGCGACTATGCTGGTCTCGCGGAAGCCAAAGAACGGCTGAACGAGGCTACGCGTAGGGAGCTCCTCCTTGCGGATCTGCGGAGGGTCCTGGATCCATCTTTGGATCCAGTGCTCACTGCGGTCGGGCGAGAGAATGCGCCTTCGGACGAGGCATTTAGGACGGGGTCAGGGGTAAGACCGCTCCTGAGCTGGAGAAGCTTGCGGGGTCTTCACTGCCCAAGTGGAGAGGGTGGCCGGGGTCCATGGCATTGAGGATCTCTCTTGCCAGGGAGCTCCGGACTTCCTCGATGAAGCTGGGTGGTGTGGTGCTCGAGGAGTTGGCGGTAAGGGCCTCTACAGATGCCGACCCTGGTATGGACGCGCTTCGTAGCGCAAACCAGGGTCTGAGGACCAGGATCTCGGCTCTTGAGAGGCAACTTGAGAGCACGAGACAAGAACTGGCTTCTCTTCGGGCTGTATTGCCGAAGTGGAGGCCCGATACTTCCCGGATACGGGAAGAAGAGGAAGAGGACGCGGCGGGACCGTCCCTCTCCGGACCAGGCTGGCGGATCCCCATTGCTGGCTGCTGACGAGCAGCACGATGATTGTCCGGTTACGGTGGCGGCGGTGTCGTCCCTTATTGATCGTCGTATTAACGACTTGAGGGGCGACATTGCGTCAATTGTCGTGGCCTCGTTGAGGTCAGAGCTTGCGGGGCGGGCTGGGCCCGCTCCCTTTGGAGCGACGCCCATGCGTGCGCCAGTGCAGCGAAGAGTTGGTGGTGCGGTTGCACCGATGCGGTTTCCCGCTCTTGGGGGCTCTGCTACTTCCGCTCTTGCGGAGGTCTCGGCGGATGCCTCCGGGCGCGGGGCTGTAGATGGGGGTCGTGGTCGTCGGCGTCGTCGTCGTCGCTCGGGGCCTGCTTCTGATGGTGCTGCGGCGAGCGCTCCAGCTCGCGGAGGGAAGAAGAGGCGTGTGCCTCCCTCTCTCCCCTCGTCGTCGGTGGTTTCGCTGACGGTCGGTGCGGTGGAGGGGGAGGAGCGCGAGAGAACATATGCCTCGGTTCTCCGTGAGGCTAAGCAGCACGTTGATCCGCCCAAATTGGGCATCAAGTCGATGCGTCTTCGTCGGGGCGACGGGCAGCATCCTGCTGTCCGTCAAAGGAAGGGAACTCCTCAAGATTGGCGGACGAGTTGGCGTCCAAGCTGAGGGAGGTGAACTTCTCTACCAAGGAAGGAGTCAAGGTTAGTCGTCCCTCTCGCATGGAAGAGATTAGACTGAGAGGGCTGATGGCCCTCATCACAAAGGAGGATATCCTCTTCGGAGGTAGTGTCGGCTTCCGGCTGTGAGGCGAGTGAAGTGAGGATGGGGGACATCCGATTGTTCCCCAACTCCGAGGTGGGCACTGTATGGCTTCGCTGCCCGGCCGTGGCTGCGCGCAAGCTGGTCAGGGCCGGGAGCATCTCATTGGGCGGGGGGTGGTGGGAGTTGACGGTCACGTCACTCGCTCGCCGCCCTCTGCAATGTTTTAGGTGCCTCGCGTTTGGCCACACGGCCAATAGGTGCGAGTCGGAGGCAGATTGCAGCGGTTGCTGCTACCGATGTGGCCAGAAGGGACATATGGCAGCCGGATGTGTGGCGCCGCCCCTTTGTTTGGCGTGCAAGAGGGCCGGTAAGCCTTCACAGCACAGGGTGTTCCGGGGCCTGCGCAAGGGATTATTCCTCCTAAAGGTTTATGGAGGGCTGGTGAGCGCTCCTTCCCTCAAGGTCGTCGGCGTCTCGGTGGGCCCCCCTGTGGGTGGTCTCCGGAGGCGATGCGTGTTTCGGAGGGCGAGGATCGCCGGGGGCGCCGCTAGGTGACCTCGCGGTTCCTCGACCTCCTCAATGTCTGTACGTTAGTCACGTCTAATGTGGTTATGGGAGCTGCGGCTGCACTCGTCCTCCTTTGCGGGAGGCAAGCAGGTCCGGTTACGCTCTCTGTCCTAGTCCTTGTCCTAGCACACTGTGGATTATGGGAGCTGCGGCCTGCAATTTGTTCCTTAATCGGAACTGGCAGGTACGGTTACCTCTCTGTTGTGGTCTTTAGTGTGTCATTAGTCAACCTCGTCGTCTCTTGTCGTGGGTGAAATACCATCCTTTCACCCACTCAATGTGGTTCAGCCTTTGCGCCTTTTATGTAGCCCTCTGTGGGCTGGGCTGTGGCCTTACTCAGTTTGGTCACGATTGTGGTTGGTGTACATGTTTTGTGCACCGTGTTCTAGTTTTGTGATGTCCTTGTGACGTCTCAGTCTGGTGATGTCCATGTGACGTCTGTGTTTATTGTCGGGCGGTTTTCACCGCCTCCGTCGGGACGGCACGAGTGAGGAGTGAGGGCTCCAATCTCATTGCACGCTGTCCTGGGACGAAGAGAGGGATTCGGAACCCGGCTCCCTCTTGCTGCCCTCTCCAGGTAGGGTGAGAGTGCACGGGAAGTGGGTTCCTGGAGGAGGAAACACCACCTTCTTCCAGGGGAAGAGCCTCGAAAGGGGTCATGGCCGAGGGTGTCCACTGGAAGTTTATGCGAAAGCGGTTCCGGTGGACAATACCCGTCAAGGCAAGGGTTCAGTGAGGTTTTAGGTTTGGGTCAGGCCATCTCCTTCTGAGGTGGAGAATCCCCCACACGCCTTCTGAGTCCTCCCTCAGGACCCAGTCGGTACGGTTTGTTGGTTAAAGCAAATTTCCTCACTATAAAAAAAAAAAGG